GGGGGGGGGGGGTGCTGTGTACACACAGGTGTGGCTGAATCCCACAGACGGCCATGTACCTGTGCAGGTATGGGACACAAGGGGCAGATTGTACAGGTGGGGATTAGGCACCTGCAACAATGTGGGGAATTCTTTTTCCCCAGAAATCTTCCATCCCTCCTGGTATGTCCAGGCACCCACAATTGTATTAGGAAGACATTCCTTTTTAGTTGGTTGCAAGTACAATGCAAATACTAGGGGTGGGGTGCGTAGCTGAACTTATCAGTGAGTGGCTCAGCCAGGATTAGTGGCTAGCTTTCTGACAGCTAGATGGATGCCTGGAGCAGGGTGGCAGGGTGCGGGCACCTGATGGGGCAGGCACAGAACGGGGACAGGATGGGTGCTCTTGGCAAACGTCTGCTTTCTGTTTAGTCATGATCCAGCCTCTGGAGTTTGCTCGCAACTCTATAGACTCACTGAGCCTCACCCGATCGAGGGAGTGTGTGTGCATGTTCAGAGGTGGGGGCATGGTCTCTTCTGTACCTGAGAACTTTTCCAAGAGGGCATTGAGCTCCGCCTCGATCTCATGGTGCATGGAGTCATTGGTGACAGCCAAAACCCACATCAGCAGGTTTGTGGCCAGGGTCAGCATCAAGCCACACCTGGAAGAGATGCCACACTCTGCCCACACACCCTGGCCGGCTCCTCGGGTGCCCAGCCCTCCCCATCACTGCATTTTGGGTCACCAGTCTCTCCTAAAGCCAGATCCCATCTGGCATTAGGACTTCAGGAGAGGCAGCCTTAGGGGCCACCTGGGAACATTCCCAGACTCACCTGCAGCCCCAGGGCCACCGTGTCCAGGGAAGCTATTAGGGGCAGGTACTAGCTGGGGATGGGGAGGCCCAGGAGTTGTTGGAGGGAGGAAGGCACTCCCATCTTACCTAGTGAAGTTGGTCTGGACCTGGATACAGTCCTTACAGTGTTTCCAGAGCACCCAGGTCTAAAAGAGACAGGGCCTTGAGCCTGGGGGTTGGGGGAGGTGGG